AGATTTTTTTCCTCTCCCCAGTGTGATTTATTCGTCACTGCTTAAGAACAGTAAATGGTACCAAGTTTATTTGCCTTTCTAGACACAAGGACCTTTCTTCTGTACCCATGGCAAAATTATGCAAAACCACTCAGTCCTTTCCCTCTCAGCTTTGCTTTCCCAGAACACACTCCAAGGCAACATGTGGCTCCATACCACAAAGAGATAAAACAGATCTTTCATCATTGAAGGGGAGCAGAGATGTATATTTCTACACTCTGGCTCAGATCCCTGGCTGAAGTCAACAAATGATTCAAATCACTTGAGGATCCAGCTACTTCAGTGAGATTACTGAGTGACTTCAGTGCACTAAAAATCTGTGCTACGCTCCAGGGACAAGCGAGCCAGCTGGGCTCCATAGCTTGCACAGGCTGCACCATCTCTATTGAGTTCTATCTGTCACTGCTTCTTTCCCCCTTCACTCCTCTCTCTTCAGAGCTCAGCTCCTGCACTCCTCCTGCCACTCCTCTGGCTCCTGTTTGAATGCACCACTGGTACACACTTTGAAGTCAGGGTGGGAGGAACACTCAAACTATCTCCTTTCCCCATTTCACAGCATGGATTATTAAAGGAAATAATCCATTCTGAAGGAATATCCCCTCTTTGCTGACCCCTAGTACAGCTACTGCAGTCATTCTGGCCTTACACTTTCTCCAAGGTATTGGGTTGCTTTCCCCTTGAGTCTCCATTCCCAGGTTAAATAAGCAGACAATCAGCCTTGCTCAAACAAAGGCCGACATTTGGTGACTTGCCTGAACGACTGATGAGCTGAGATAAAGACAGCTTCTTGCACCACTTAATGAGAAGTCAGTCCGATAGAATCAGCTTTGCAGAGGATTGCAGTGCAAAGCTTACTCTTTTTTGGCTACGGAGGAGTAAGAGTATCTTACTTCAATAATGACTAAGTAAGTACTAATGATAAGTAGCTTCAATAACGACTAACACTTGAGAGGCCAAAAGAACCTGACCAGATCAACTCAGTGCAGTAGTACCCCCAGTTTTCCGAACAAACATCAATAAAATTCTGACAGGGATTCCCCAAGCAGTTGCATGAAGGGGGAGGCAGGAGAAAAGCTCATACGTCTTGGATCATTTACTGACTTTTAAGCAGTCTATTTCCTTATCAGTCATCACCTCTGCCAATTTATCACGCTTGAAAGCTACCTACCATGCATTGCCATTAAAAAGTACAATATTTTGCAACAGGAAGAACAGAAATCAGCCAAAACCTGTAATAGGCCAAAACTGATAAAAACCACTTGAACTTATCAGCTGGCACAGGACCAGGAAAGTGGTTATGCTATTGGGCAACTGTCACAGATGGACAAGTTTTCAGAAGTAATTTGGGATTAGCATCAGAAAGTTAGAAAGACAATTTGAAAACTGTTTTTAAGATGTGTACGAAAAGCCAAGATGGATGTTAAGTGATGGAGCAATGCCAGATTACTAATCATAAGAAAGAAAACAAAAGACCACCACCCAAAAGCAAGAGCACATTCCTCTAGTGTTGCACTGGAGGAAATTGCTGAGAAAATAAAAAATTAATTTCTCTATGGAACTGATTTAGTATCAAATATAGAAAAAGAATTTATAGCTGCCTATAGCTTTACAATGTTACGTAGCTACATTAATTTTGGCAGAAGAGGTAATTTTAATCCTTTGGGAAGTATTATCCTCTTGATATGAGCACATAACTCAGATTAATAGGATTTGCATATGTATAATAATAGAGAGACTAACCCTGGGTTTGGAAAACAACGCGGTATTTTAATCAGTTTGGGAACACCAGACAAAAAAACATACCAGGCACAACTAATCGAACAGCATTTGTCAACCCATGCTAGGTAATAATTCTGAGTTAATTGATCAATATTTAGAAGCAAACATAATAAACTGGCATGTTTTGGAAAATCAAACAAAGCAGAGCTATTAACATAATCAGAAGACAAGGGGAGGTAGAAGCTGTACTGTTAATCACTTGCAAATTGTGTTTTTTAAAGACCTGGACTAAATACATGCTATAACCAAACTGTATAATTGACTCTGTGTATGCAATCTCAGTTGTTCAACAATACAGAAAACAGCAGTAATGGTATAATTATAACTTACAGCTGAAGTAGATAAAAACCTGATCGTTCTTAACTAGTGGTTGCAATTAAGGGTGGAGAAGAGCAGTATTCACTGTATCTGGTTATGGTTCATCAATAAAAGTGGATTTGAAGTTCCAATACAGCAAAGCAGCAGCTGCATGCTCCAGTCAGACTTTGACCATATCCTGACAGAAGACATGACTAGGGAATTGACTTGTAACAGCTGTAGGAAAAATAGCTCTGTAAGCAGTGGCTGAGCAGCAAGCATAGATATGGAATGCACTAAATGCAAAGCAAGCACACAACGAAGAGGTTCTCTCCTGCGCCCCGAGAATCACTTTAGCTTCGACTGCATCCGTGGGTTGAAGAAACAGATTTACTTCCTTCCTACCACCTTCCCCCTGCACAGGCAAAGAGATACACACAGCCCTGTGCACACACGTGCGCTGCCAGCCCACGGACAGACAGGGAGAACAAGGCAGGGCAGGACACGCGTCTCCTCCACCCCCGGCGGAGCGGCTTCAGCACCGGGGGCGGCGGACAGCGCCCGGGCTCCCGGGCAAGAGGTCGGGCCCCTCCGCCTGCCGGGCACTGGGACACCAAGGGCGACCCGGTACCCTCGGTGGACAGCGGCACAGGGTTACCAGCGACGAGGCTGGAAATGGAAACCTGGTCGGCTTAGAACCAGGGTGTTTTCGCCCCCTCTCCCCCCACGCAGAGCCAAAAAAATAAAGGCAAGAACACTGCACCTCACAAACAGTAAATTTCAAAAGGAAAGCCTGAGCTGTCTGGCATTATCCAGCATGAGCAAAAGTGGCCAAACACATTTTCTAGCGGCTTTTCCCTCAGACTAGAGAGTTCTCAAATCCAGGCAGCTTGGTTTGTGCTTTCTGAGCAAACAGAAGAGTAAACTCAACAGTTCAGAAATGAAGTGGGTATCAGCGGCATGTTTCAGTTGCTTTTTGGCTCACTCACTCAATACTCGTTGCTAAGCAATTTTATTTTTTTTACTACTCACTGCCAGATGGATTAATGAAAACACACGCTTGCACTACTTACAACATTTTTCATTTATATTTCTTGATACACCAGTACTGTATCTCTTAATTATTTCCTTCTTAAGGAATTCCATTCCCAGGTTTGCAAGTAAAGACCCAAATTACAGAGAGCCAGGGGGAGGGGACAAACAGAAAGAAGCTAAGTGTAATTACCAAATTCTTTAGTGGATTGCAGGAAAGAGGTACCTTGAGACTTGCACATCCTCTGGGACTTGTAGCAAAGACAGCATGTCTAGCTCAGCATAGAGATGTGAGGCACCAGGTGACCTGAAGGTGCCTTGCTTTTAACTGGTTTATCTATTTATAACTACATGTCATAGCATTACCTGAGAGAACACAAGTCAGCACAGTGTTATTTCAGTAGTCAAATAACCATACACAGCCTTTTTTATTTACACCTTACACACAGCGAAACTCTTTCTGTTTTGACTTTCAGCTCTTTATAGAGCTGAAACCTGGCACTTGGCACTGTCTTCCAGCTTGTGCCCTGGAATGGCACCCAACTTACCCATGGTTTGGTAATTTTTTAGGAGTCATGATCAGAGAGAAAGAATGACACGCCATACAATGTAACCTACCGTTCCTCAGTGGTAAAACCAAACTGCACATCAGCCATTACCAAGGGTGTAATTGCAGCAGGGATAACAGGAGGGGGAGGGGAATCTGTTCCATCCCCAAATGGAGAAGAAAATGCATCTCTGCCATCTCCAACTTTCTGCCAGCTGAAAAGGGGGAGGAGGGATGGGAGAGACTGCAGCAGGGCAAGCAGCTACTCCAAGGCAGCTCTTTTCCTTTTACAGCTGGCAGTGAGCTGACAGGCTCAGCATCAAAGAATGTTACACAGTTGGGTCATTTTGAGTGCTACTGCTGGGACATGAGGGAGCTTGCAGTACTGCTGGCTACAGATCCTCCTTCATGCTATCCCCCTTCCCAAACAGATGAAGTCTGGTTTGGTGCAGAGAACCAGCAGAAAGAACTTTCTTTTGTTTTGTTTTTGAGAGCAAGTAACCTCTGGTGTAGTTAGTTTGCTGATGACAGAACTCATAAGGAAAGATCAAGAAAGGAGGGAAAACCATAGGCCTAGTAGGAAAGAAACGGGATAGTTTCATCATGTGCAGGATGAACTGGAGGGGACAGCTTAAATCTCAAGGGAAGAGGTAGCAAAGAGGAAGGCAGAGTAGTGGAGAAAGGGGAAGGAAAGGTCAGGTAGACAACTGCAGGAGGTTCATCCCAATAACAGGCAGGAGGAGGTGAATGCAGGGAGCTGGAGGTGTGTTGGTAGAAACCATCAGGCTGTACACCCATCGAGAGTCGCAAAAGGCAACACTGAGACAACCGGGGACCTAATGAAACTAAGTGGACAATGCAGGTGCAAGTTTCCTTGCGCTTCTGAGACACAAACCCATTAGGAGAAGAAGGTAAAGAGCGAGCCAGGAAGAGACTCGCAAAACACCAAGGGCAACGTCTCCAGGAGGGACGCCAGCACCAGGCGAGGAGGGACAGTGCAGAAGCCTTGTGGCGATGCACCTCGACGCTGTGCAGGGCGAGAGGGCGGCGCTCTGGGAGAGGGGTAGCTTCGAGGGGCTGAACAGGGAAAGGCAGCCGGCCCCGGGCTGACCCAGGCGCGGGGCAGGGGGAGCCAGGGCCGGGGAGGCCGGCGAGGTGCGAAGGCACCCGGGCAGGGCCGGGCGGCGGTGCCCGGGGAGCCCGCGGGCGCCGGCAGGGGCGGAGGGCGGGGGCGGCCCCTTCCCTTGCCTTCCCTCCCTGCCTCCCCCGCCGCCGGGCGCGCCGCGCCGGGCCGCCTCTCTCTCACCTGTGTCGAGGTTGAAGGAGATGCGGGCCTCGGCGAGGTAGGGGGTGTCGCTCTTGGAGCGGACGCGGCGGATGGGTCTGCGGTCGATGTCCTCCTCGGAAGATGCCGCCATTAATGTGGGCACGGTGAGCAGCGTGGCCCGGCGAGCTGGCGAGGGCGAGCGGAGGCGCGGGGCAGCCGGGCGAGGAGGGGGCGGAGGGGGAGAGAGGGGAAGGGAGGAGGGAGAGAGGCGCGGGAGGGGGAGGGGAGGACGGGGAAGGAGAGAGGGAAAGGGAGAAAGGAGCGCAGGGAGGGAGGGGGAGAGACAGGGAAAACCCGTCAAGGATCTGCGGACGGGAGCGACCGCGGCGGCCCTGCCCCGCTGCCCCTGCCGAGTCCCGCCCGCCTGCGCTGCGGGGGACGGAGCGGTGGCCCCGGGCCCGGCCCCCGCCCCAGGCAGGGTCCGGCCGAGCGCTCTTCCCGCCCCAGGGGAGGTCCCGGCTGAGGTGCCAAGATGGGCCCGGCCGGCAGAGGTGCTGCCCCGCAGCAAACCCGGCGCCCCGAACTGCTCACTTCTAGCCCAGGGCATCCAGAATTCACAGCACAGCAGCATCATGACTTGCTGGGGTGTCTAATGGTGCATCCCTTCGCCTCCTTGCCCCTTTTCCTTGGGCAAACCCATTAGGTAAAGCGGGATGGTGTGCCACACCTTGGCAGTTTAAAATGCCAAGGGGACTGAGGAGCCTGCACTCAACGTTTGAAACTGACCATCGCCCAAAGCCCTCCTAAAGCTCGCCTTCCTAAGGCGCTTCGGCAGGTCTTTCAGAAAAATGTGACCATCCGCAAAAACCAGAGACTCCGTTCTCCGCCTGCAAACTGGGCTCGGTGTTTTGTGGCATCTCTGTTTCTCTGTTTAGTAATCAGCTCTCTACGTAGACGTTCTTACCCTGTGGTTTATGGGATGCCTGATACATTAGGGCTCCAATTTCAGTTGGTTAGTGTAATATAAATAATTTAAAATGCTATTAAAGAAAAAGCGGGTAGCAAAGAAGTACTACGTAAAGTAAGAGTTAAAACAGTTAAAATATGTGTCTAAGAGTATACTAGCTCATGCCATTTAATTCAGGGCTTTAACAAAAAGCTTGAAGTCTGCTTAAAGTCACTAAGTTGACTAAGTTGCAAAATCTTTTGTTTTGATCAACTTCAATGAGAAAAAAAGACCAGAGAAGGAATGTTGAGGCTCACTAACCCTGAAGGCAGTGATAGTTACACTAGTTGGTCTGAATTTTGAAGGATGGCTCTCTTACTCATTCCTGCAGAGTCAAGAGATTTCTGTTAGAAATCTCTTAGTCAAGAGATTTCAATTAGTCCTATTGACGTTTTGGGTTGTGCTGCATGTTCTTCAATGGCTGTAACATTGGGTTTAGCTCAAGTCTGCTGTTAGCTGTAATCCCTTCATAAATGTTCTCAAGAGCTTTCATGTTTCTGGATGTCTGGAATGGATAAGAGATATTTTGTTTGCAAATCAATTCTATTTTGGTGTGATCTCACTGGCTCACCCTGGCTAAAAGAGGGAAAAAGTTTTAGTTAGCACTTGCAGGAGAATTTTGAAAACTATTCCTGTTCATACATATGCAGGTGCTTGTAGTTAAGACAGCCTTGGCATCTTTGGATGTCTGGTAAACCACCACATCGCTTGTGAACGAGGAGGTACCATCTGGTCCATCTGCATCTCAAAAAAGAAGTTTTTAATTAACATCATATGCTGTTTAGGGAAGGTGTGGTCTTACCATTATCAAGGTTGAAGCAGATCCGAGCTTCTTCCAAGTAAGGAGTGTCACTCTTAGACCGGAGTCTTCTGATGGGTCTCCGGTCAATGTCATCCTCAGAAGTTGCTGTCACCAGAGTGGGCACAGTGAGAAGAGTTGCCCGACGAGCTGGGAAGAAGAAATAAATGAAGATCAGAATAGGAGGAGAACAGAGAAATAGAAAAGGGGAGAAAGAGATAGAATAATAATAGTAATAGTATTTTTTAAAAAAGACTAAAAACAAAAGAGAAAGAAAATCACTCAGTGGAAGAGATGATCTGTAGCAGGTAGTAGAACACGCTGTTTGCTATTAAGTCCTTGCCTTATATTCTGCATGCTGCAGAATTTAAGGGCTGCATTGAATGATACCAAGAAAATATTGCTGTCTTGTGCCCCAAAGACACAGGTTATAGCTCAGCTGCTGCCGCAAATTGCTTGTTCTAAGTTCCTAGTCTTGCCACTAAAACAATTCTTTTCTCAACTTCTCAATAGCTGCAGTCTCTTTTCCTGAGTGCTGTTTTTGAGGCTGTGGTACCTGAGTAGTGGAAATACTTAAGTGGTTGATTAATTTGCAGATACAATGGAAGCTGTACTTGGAACACAATGTGGTGGTTATTCTTGACAAGATACAACTATTCCAAAACTCAGTTTCTTGTTGTCTTGTCTTGGGCATTTCAAATTAGCTATTTTTTGCTCTTGATCACTTTATGTCTTAATTTTTTAGTTGTGGAACAGGGAGAAACATAATTTTCATTCAGTATGAATTTTGTGAACATATAAATCCATTAATATTGTAAAGTATTCATAGACTAGTGAACCACCAATGAAAAACCCATGAGGAAATTAAGATTTCTGTCTTCTGAACAGGATTTAAATGGCTTGGGGCCATGCATTCAAGGAGGAGAAAGCAAAATATTTAATACTGGCTCATTAAGTGAACACTGCCCACTACATGCACTGATGAAGCAAATGGTAGGATAGTAAAATTTGCTGTCATTGTGCAATTAGAAGCCCTGCTATAATCCATATGTATAAGGAGACTGAATTAATGTTGAAGAGGCAGCTTTCATTTGGGCATTGCCTAGGTATTGTCTGGACCTTTTAGCCTTGATAATGTCCCTTAAATGTAGGTGTTTTATATGTGAAATGTAATTAGGAGTGGCTGTTGAATGCTTTGGACAGCGAGCCTATAAATTACAAATCACATAGAGAAGAGCTTCTATAAATATATCCACCTAAACACTCTCTCTCTCTGAGTAGGTAAAGATTATCACCAATGCAGTTGGGATGTGCTGATCACTGAAACATGAGGACCATGCACATGTACTTTCTCCTCCACCTCATATATAATTGGAAAGAGAATTTCTGCTTGAAACCCCGTCCTTACCCATAATGTGGGCCTATTAACATTAACCACCATGTGGGACCCTGTAAGAGCCTAAGAGCCTAAACCCTAAATGTTTCTTGCTGTTGGGACATTTTCTAGCATAAGAGTCTTTATCTCAGGGCTTTTGTAAAGCATCACACTTTAAATAACTAACAATTAACTATATTTTCCCATTGGGACTGGAGAGCATGACTGATAGTGACTAAGAGCTTATTCTGCAACCTACTAGCTGTGATTCTTTCTTTTAAAAGTTTTTAGAGTTTCAAACGAGACCTGTCAATCAGTAGCTTTCAGCTAAAATCTGACTAAGGTGTTAGGTATGATAGCATATAATTAGTATGAGTTAACAAAAGCTGTCATGTTCTATTTTTCAATTTGCAGTATTATGTAGTTTACTAAACAAGTAAATCTGTGCTGTTGGAGGTAGATGTTATTTCTGGTCTGACTTACTTATTTTCTGTTTCAAAATAGATTCCTTTCAAGTTTTTGCTCATTTCTAACCTAGCATTTGAATTTGAAGTAAAAGCAAAGGGCAGGAGTTGAAATTGATTTAATGGGGTCAACTATTTAGATTAAGCTAAAGTAAACACTGCAACTAGGCTGTAAACCATTCCTCCCTTGTAATAGGAAAGTACAGTAATGAAGATAAAAGAGAATGGAAAATTTCTACTATGGAAAATTTTGTGTACTGCATCTTCAAATTTACACTTAAGGAAGATTTATCTATATAGGAAGTCAGCGTTGTAAAAATCATCTCATAAAACAACCATGTAAAATATTTTTCTTTTAAAACTAGCATGATCTAGCTGTAGGTAAAGTCAGTGAAAGGGCACCCATACATTTCAGGGCTAGCTAGATCACAGCACAGAAATATACAGAAAAAAAATCCCAACACCAAACTATTTATACATATATAGTAAACAGAGAATAAGAGCAGGATTTCTATATAATTGTTTATAAATCGTTTTTACCTTTTGGGTCAAAATATTGGGATCTGGCTTGTATTCATTTTGACTGCAGGTAGGTGTATGCTAGAAAATGTTTCTTGGAGTAATCATTATGTATTACTTTGACAACCGTCATTATCTACCCTTTGTGTATATTACCAAAAGGAGTTTTCAAGAATGACTGGAAATTTTAAGTAAACATTGAAAACATTTCAGATTAGGCTAATAAGCATTAAAACATTTTGCAATAAAAAACTAAGATCAATTCTTACACGGCCCCAGAACTGGAAATTGTAGCTGATCACATTCTGGTATCTACAGAGCGACACTGAATGTTTATGCCTGCTATGAATATAACTGTACACACTCTTTTCCTAATCCACAGCAGTCTTTATTTCCAGAATGACTCGCCATACATTTTTTAGTAAAGCTGTCGATATAAGCCCAATGTGACTTGGGTCCATCACAGATAACCCACCAGTATCTCTAGCTTCAGCTGCTCTCAACAAACCAGCTCAGTCTCTGGGACACACTTTTAGGAGATAGTTTTTCAGGCAAATTAGGAAGTACCCACTTGAAGGTCTTGGAGCAATGCAATGACATTACAGTACACATTAAGGGACTCGCTTACTCTGCAAATGGATTTGAGACCAGTGTTGAAAAGGTCAATTTAAAGAGCTACTAACAGTGTGTGGAAGAGAAATCAGTCATTTTGTTAAACTCTTTCTTTCTATTTTCATTGTTCCTCATAGGCTTACACCCCAATTGGCACATTGTGGCAATGTCTTGTCTGGTATTTGTGAGAAAGGGAAAAAGTTGGCTTATGAAGGGAAAAATACATTAAAACTATAAATGCTGTAATGTACGTCATGTGACATGTTAGAACTGATTATATATAATCTCCCATTTGTTTGTCTCAAAATACTGTATGTTACTGAAGTGCAACACAAGTATGTCTTTGGGAGAAGGGAAAGTAAAATATGTAAATTTTTATATAACAAGTTCAGAGGCATTTTTAACATATAATTTAAACATATTTAGTTAGCTCTACAGCTGGTCCCAATTTTTGAATACTGCTTAAAATTACTGAAAACACGAAGGGTGGTTTGCAAAGAATTTTTGATGCCTTCCATTTTTCCATTAAAATACTTTTCCACATATTTTAATAAAAGTGTTAGTAGTAATTTTTTTTTTGCCAAGAACTACCTTTATGTATTGATTTTTTTCAAGAGTTGTGTTATTTAGAAAAAATTTAATTGGAAAAATTTCAGAGGTGAAATGGCATCTTTCTAAAAATTAATTGGAGAAAACATGGAATATTCGTTTAGATTTTTCCATCCACTTTTACCAATCAGCCTTTATTAAAATAGCTCACTGGTGACACAAATATCCTGGTCATTTTTTACTCAATAGGGTCTTCAACTAGAAACCCTAATTTGCAGAGTAGATCCTGACCTCAGAATGGCAAATCTTTGAAATATAATGCTTTTTATTTTAGTACAACTGAAGTGCTAGAATGTTTATTGTAGATGTCTAGATGTAGAAAGTGTGTGTTTCTGATGCACAGAATCACAAACAGCTTCAAAAAACACTGAAATAGCCACAAGGGGGATGCTGGTTACATCAGAAATCTCAAAGGCTTTTCTGAGGAAAACCTTGTTTCTCAGGGCAAATTTTGACCAACTTTGTAAAGTACCTTTGAAAATATTTTAATTGCAGTCCTACTCTTGCTGACTGAATAGGATTCTTCTTCCTTGCTGCTTTTCTCGCTAGAGAAACATATGAGCTCTTACTCAGTTCTCCTTCGTGCTTCTGTGGAGAGGGCTCACCATGGTGTAACATATCTGTATGTAGATAATGTATGCAGAAATGTATTTTTGGCTAAATGGAAGCTTTAAAAATACGAGTTCGGGTACATTTTGATTCATCTAGCACATGATACTCCTTTTGTGCTAAAGAAACATTATTAGGCTGTGAATATTCTTCCTTAAAGAAAAAACAGGCAGTGGGTTCAATTGAATGTTTACCAGGAAAAAAAAATCTTTTGGTCTGGTTTAATGCCACTTCACTTTATCAGTTGCATTTAAAAGAAGATGAAAGGACAACATGTGAAGGATTAGATTTGGGAAATGGAGTAGGAGTGGCAGGAGAGGCAGAGAGTGGAACATGTGGAGAGCACATAATTTGTCATTTATGAAGAAAGATTTATAGGCTTGTATCTCCCACATAAACACAGAAGCACATGCATATGGATAGTTCCATGTCTCTAAAGCAAAGCTGTTGAAATCTGTCTTGATGGACATCAGTAATCTGAAACAAAGTACATAGATGCATCTTATTTAACCACAGGCCCAAGGGCTGCAAACAACAGTACCCATATGAAAGGATATCCACATTTATGCACACATTCCTTCTGCTGGTTTGTGGTATTTTGGTAAAAGTATGCACAATAAGCCTAACAAACAGTTTTTTTACATTTTAGGTGAAACTTGCTTATTTCTCTGTGTCCAAAGGCACAGGCTGTTCTGAAATTCTTAATATTGGCGATATGCCAGAATAGGAGGTGGGAAAAGGATTCTAAAAAGTTTACAAAGGATGAAGAAAAGGTTGTTCATCAGTTACTTAATGGTATTTAAAGGTGGGGACGTTTTATTAAGAATGCACATTTGATGTTACTAATTTTTCTGATATTGGTGTCAGTCTAGGAACTAGTGATATCACATGAATAAAAAACACCTGGAAGCTATCATAACTTCGAGAAGATGTTAACATATTGGGTGGATTAATCATAAGAT